GCGGTTCGAGTCCTGATGGGGACATAAAAAGTACGCACTGCTGACGAGTCCCAAACAGGACGAAACATGTCCAGTGCTGTTTGATGGTTATAACACAAAAATTTTCACCATCTAAATCTTCGTCAATTTAGCATCAACCATTCATAATAACCCAAATCCGGAGTCTTAGAATCTGGGATTCACCCAATTGTTGAATACTAACTGTCAGTTCATCTACCAGTGACCGAGCCCATGTGTTTTCCTACGAGCTATTCGGCATTCCAAACATGAAACATAACAACCAATTCTTCACCTCAACCAAAAGCTCTTCAACACTCGAAATGTTTATTTTCGGGCTAACCACATACGGTTCCCCCTTGTGATAAAGATTCACCTACTTACCTATCTTCTTTCAGATTCCCGGGGGAACAAGCGTCTGCTGGATCTGCTTTTCTCAGCTCCACATCGTCACTGGATCGGTTAGGCGCTTTACACTCGGTCCATTCGATCCACTCAAACGGTCAACCGAATATCCCACTATCATGTGATCTGGCCACACCCTTGGTGACCGATGCCAGTTCGCTTCCTTTGCACGGACTACAGCCCATGACACCGGGGCTGGTAGCATTGAAATCTGTTCATAACAAAAATGTTCTACCCAGCTATCCGTTGCTGAGTGGTGTAACTCCCTATGTACCAAACGGTGCGGTCCCACTCTCACTTCCTACAACTGCCACAAAACTAAACTTGTGCGATGGGACTTTGCACACCGCGTTTTCCCTGAACAGTTTGGACCCGGTGGGATTCGCGTTACGCAATCAGCAATTGATGCCTCTGCCCCTATCTCTAACCGATTGGACAACTAATGCACAATCATACGGCTGTGGATTTATACAACCTGAGATTCCCCGTCCTGCGTTGATTTCCAACTGTAATGGTGTTTCACTGCTGTGCTAGGTGAGTAAAATCAAACCGAGTTGTTTGTGGTGGTTCTGTACGCTCAAAACTCTAACTGGCATGATACCCACAATCGAACGGACATGATAAAATGAATCGCTACAGCGGTAGATAAGTTCTCACACGAACATTTGTCTTTCAGATTAAGTTTTGCTCAAGCAAATCCATTCTGTACCTTGATGGTTGTGTGTGCGTGCAATGCCCCATCGCCCATTGTCGATCCGCGTTGCTGCACATCAGTCAGTGAGTCGTGTTGGTATTTGTGTAAGTGTGCGCGATGGTGTGCGCTTGTATGTGTTTGTGTGTTCATGTGTGTGTGAGGATGCCAACGGGCACACATCTCCGCGTTGGTGGACAGTGAGCAAAAGCGAATGAAAAGCTATTGGTCCGAATCCATTTGTCATAAATTTTTTAATTGCGATTTTATTACAAGACTCAGTTTGTGTCCTCCTTCTTGCATCTTACAGAACAAATTAGTTTGCGCACACAATATATATGGACATAGTTTTTTGTTTGTTTTACATTCAGCCCATGGATAGAAACAAAATGTGCAAATCTCACGCAAAACTATTGTGTGACATCGATCAAGTGTCGGCTATTTCGGGATTGCTGCTGCTACTGCTGCTGCTGCTACTGCTAATACTATCTACCCATAAAACAGCCATTCCACTAGATTACTTGTGTAAGAGTGCATTTATTTGGCTTTTGGGTAACGCAGATGTGTTTGAGTGTATTGGTAAATCAGTTTGTTCATCGTGTCCGACAACCCGACCTTCATCGGTTCCTGACAAGTTCCTCATACAATTAGATGCATGTAATAGATATTGCAAAGAGGCTCGAATGCGTGTCAATTTTCGCCAGTAACCGAATTGATGCTCTCGGTGAGTATCTAGTTGTGGCAGTGGCATAGTCCCAAACTTCAGAATGAACTAGAAAGCAGAAATTATGTGAGGTCAACATGTTATGCTGTGGAACTGAATTATGGACGTGATGTAACCATGAACGTTACTTGTCTCGGGCAAAAGCCATGAAAACCCTTACGAAGAGAGCTTAATTTTTTCTAAACATATGATACTTTCCACACGCAGCTTCTTGAGCAACTTGATTCGTTTCTGTACCAATAGTACACTTTGATTACTCGCTTTTCATTCTTATTTTCTTCTAACTTCCGTTTGATGCACCCAACTGGCCTAGCCAATCATAACCTGCGATGCGATGTGATGGGCACCCTGACTGTCTGATCACCGCTGCATTTGAATTTACCAATCTATCAATAACGGTTCTGAATCTAGGGGAAAATCGATTTGCGGACGATTATCAAGATAAATACTTAGTCTTGAAAGGTAAAGATTGGTTCCAGTGACAATTATTGTTCTTAACTTCTTCACATAGTCATCGAACTGGTGAGTTTAAACACAGTTGTTCTGTGAGATAAGAATTCGCAGAGGGATCTGATGAGAGCAATCGAAATTATTTTCTTTCCACGTACACGTTTCAAACATGCGCGCTGTCGTTCGTCAACGCCGGGTTCGATTGATAATTGCATGGATGACCCGTTGGGAATACTCTGTGATGTGACCGTGAGTTTTAGTGATGGTGGATTGGTGGTTTGAGCTTTCACACCGTTACTCTTGAGTTCGAGTATTGGAATCCTATCTCCCCCGCCTACCACCAACAACAAGCAATCAACACAAGTATAGTCGAACTATAAAAAACATGTTACAAATCCTGGAATTCTAGGATCCCAAGCTCTTCTCATGCTATCTATCATGTACCCGTGATAGGACCCAACTGACATGTGATACATCAAGGTAAATTAGTAGTGTCGTAGAAAACAGATGCATGTACAGTAATGGATATCAGCGAAGACAAAATGTTTCATGAGATGTAGTTGGGTTTCATTGGCAATGCGAACCCGTCGACCCAGCTGACAGTCAAACAAGGTTGAACCGAAGCATACTACTCGTTTGATCAACGAGTAGCTGATTGAACGGTCTTTTATGTTGTCTATACTTGATTCAGCTCTTCCCTGACTAGTCGCATATAACAGAAGGGCCAATTTGGGAATGCTTCAATATGAGTCGTGATCCTGGAGGTTAATAATACTATCTGTAACGTTTGTGATGTCCGCAACGAGCTTACCAAAATCGGTTGTGTTATATTGTGTATAGACTGAGTGAAAATCAGCCCAGTCAACCGTCGGTGGTCAAATGGGTCGTATGATTTGGTTCTATTTGCAACTTTCAAAAGTTGAGCTCTCGATGGGTCGATGGATTCGCATTGCTGATGAGACCCTACCAAGTGGAAACAATTGCCTGACACTTTCTAACTTTTCAGTCCACGCTTCATTTGATCTCTGATAGTAGAGATTCACCATACGGTTGAATCGGATTCTCCACTGCTCTTATGTTTCAAGTGTGTATGTCGCAAGTATTCTTGGAACAGTGGTCTAATCGTTCCGCTCTAAGTTATTTATTTACCCCGTAAAAGCTGAACGTTGCTATGGCATGGTTATAATAGTAATAACAATAATAGTAACAACTGGGTTAATCAATAATATGATGGTCTACCACTAGTAAACAATGTGTAATTCCCTTGGCGTATAGTAATGTACCATTTATAGTGAATTTCAATCTTTCACACACACGCACAAGTAGTCAAACACGATTTTAAATATCGTATTTAATTCGAAAAGTTCATAATATCTAGCGTGACTGAATCCTGCAAATATGGCAAATCAAACAACTAACTGGTTTGTCTATTCAATTTATTTCTCAATCAACGAATCGCACTGTCTACCTAGTCTCGCTGATTCTTTATTCATTGTAAACATGTCAGCATTTGTTCAAAATTGCGAAGCGCGTGCGTATTGTTTCCCATGTATGTTGTCTCACCGGATGCCAGATTCGCGGTTATGTTTGTTCTTCATTCATAAACTCCATGAATTAATCTCTTACCCGACGCAAATCAGTGTATCAGTGCGATGAGATGTGAGATATCATTTTACTCCTATTTTTATCTATTGAATATATAAATGTACAGTTAACTTTCAGGAAGGGGGCCTGGGCTATGCAACGGTTACCTGAGAAAATACAGAAACAGGGAAGACTGGCGACGGTGAAGCGGTTCGAACCCGGGACTCCCGGGTCACAATTAGGTGATCTGATCGCTGGGCTACCACTCAACCCGTGCACAGCTTGACTGTAAGATAGGCAAGCTAGTCATGTTCAGACATGAAATCATACCTTTAGAGATTCTTACGAGATCGATGCCATCTGAAATAAATTGATTTTATCAAAGAGAAATAAAGAGATAAATAGAGAGCATAGCGCTTTTTAGGTTCGGGCATGATTCACAAAAAATCTCCGATTGGGTCATCTAGCTCTTCCTTTATTCCAATGTCTCGCGTCGCAGTCAGCTGTGACACGATTATAATTGATGGCACCAGTCTGTTTAGCCACCAGAAGGTCGACGGTGTCGCAAGTAAACACTGCTATTTGGTTAGAGAATGCTCGTACTGTGCTCGTCATTCTCAGACTGACTTTATCAAGAAACTCGTCAAACTGCTACTAATGAGGTCAGTGATAACGAATTAATGATACTTTTCAAAATATGTCCAATGACTGTTGATGAGGAATGACTCACTTGAAATGTCACTGTACTTATCAGAGACATGAAATGGAGCCTAAATACAACATGACGTATAAAGGGTTCTCTGATAAAAGTCAAAGTTTTATTTTCCTATGAGATTACAATAGTGAAACATTGTCCTTTTCACTTGGATGTTCCATTTTAAGTTGGTACAACTCGAGCAGTAAACATATGTTATTTATGTCTGAAGAAAAATATTGAGGGCAACTATTTTTATCCATATCGGGGCTTGTTAGTTGAGCCTATTTTATTCTATCTACCTTGAACGTGAACCCAAGCAAAACGAACAACAAAGTACTTGTGGCTGTGCGCAAACTGAAATCAATGGAGATAATTTCATTGGGGGTCACCCGTCTTCCAGTTCCGAGATAAATGATACAAATGTTGAATCAATTGAATGCGGCCAATATAAAGCTTTGTCTCATGTTATTCATATCCTTAAATAATAGATAACCAGTAGACAGACAGAGTTTGACCATTTAAGCACTTCTGATTAATAACTAAATAAATGTATTCATTTGTAATAACTACTCCACTTTGCAGTACTAATGACCTTGTGATCACGAAAGTCTTGGCTTGTAATTTGTTCTATTTTTATTTTCAGTACTTGACAAAATTTAGTGTTTTGATTGCTAATGTTGCTGACCCGTTTAACTCAGTGGAACATTTTTCTTTTGACCCTGATGTATCGATGTCTCTGTTTTCTCTTCTTGCCTTCAGATGCGCGATCGTCCCCCTAAAACCGGAAATGATCGAGAGCCCCAACCCATGTATCCATGCATTCATCGATCCATCAATCAATCCATCCATCCATCCAAATTCATCCTAATACATCGTCATTCCATTGCAGAATTATTTCACCATTTTAAAATTTCGAAAGTAAAACTACTCTCACACATTTGTGTCATATCGAACACAGCTCGTGGCTCCCAACCGAAGTCCATCTGCCAGTTCAATTTTGGTTTTGTTTTGATTTTTGTTTTGTTTCTGTATGCTCTTCTATTTGCATGCTTCAACGAAGTCGCGTTTTTATTGGGAGATCTAGCCGGATTCCAATCTGTTCACTATTATTGCTGCTGAGAACCACACTGCTATTATTGTTACTATTATTGATATTATTATGATTGTCACTGATGTTGCTGCCGCTGTTGCTCGGATTACACATATTTCTGCTAGTATTCATGCATTTGAGCAGTCTTCATTTGTGATGAACACCCGGGACTCATCGCGCGATCCCGTTTCACCCTCTTCGAGCAAGTTCTTGCACACA